CAGGTGGTTTTGGGGTTGTTTTTAGCCAATCCCACGTGGTTTTGGGGTTGTTTTCAGGTATTTTGGGGCTGTTCTCAGGTGGTTTTGGGGCTGTTCTCAGGTGGTTTTGGGGTTGTTTTTAGGTATCCCAGGTGTTTTTGGGATTGTTTTCTGGGATTATTTTCAGGTACTTTAGGGTTGTTCTCAGGTGGTTTTGGGGCTGTTTTCAGGTGGTTTTGGGGTTGTTTTTAGGTACCCCAGGTGTTTTTGGGGCTGTTCTCAGGTGTTTTTGGGATTATTTTCAGGTACTTTAGGGTTGTTCTCAGGTGGTTTTGGGGCTGTTTTCAGGTGGTTTTGGGGTTGTTTTTAGGTACCCCAGGTGTTTTTGGGATTATTTTCAGGCATTTTGGGGCTGTTCTCAGGTGGTTTTGGACACTCTGTACCTTCCTGAGGGCGTCGTTGTCCTCCAGGTACTGCCGTGCGGCCTGGCTGGCGCCCTCGGCCTGCTTGCGGAACGCCTGGCTGGAGGCACCCAGGGCAGCCTGGGCCGAGATCAGCGTCACCAGGCGCCTCAGGAGGCTGGGGGGGACAAATTTGGGGTGAGGGACCCCCAAACTGGGATCAGGGACCCCCCTCAGTCACCCAGAGCCCCCCCTGAGCTCGTGGGGCCTGTTGGTTTGCGGCCTGGTTGCAGGCCTTGCGTGCGGCCTAGGCCGAGATCAACGTCACCAGGCGCCTCAGGAGGCTGGGGGGATAAATTTGGGGTGAGGGACCCCAAAACTGGGATCAAGGAACCCCAAATTATGGTTAGGGACCCCCAAATTGTGGTTAGGGACCCCCCTGGGTCACCCAGAGCCCCCCCTGAGCTCCTGGGGCCTGTTGGTTTGCGGCCTGGTTGGAGGCCTTGAGTGCGGCCTAGGCCGAGATCAGCGTCACCAGGCGGCTCAGGAGGCTGGGGGGAAAAAAATGGGGTGAGGGACCCCAAAACTGGGATCAAGGAACCCCAAATTATGGTTAGAGACACCCAAATTTGGGTTCGGGACCCCCAAATTGTGGTTAGGGACCCCCCTGGGTCACCCAGAGCCCCCCCTGAGCTCCTGGGGCCTGTTGGTTTGCGGCCTGGTTGGAGGCCTTGAGTGCGGCCTAGGCCGAGATCAGCGTCACCAGGCGGCTCAGGAGGCTGGGGGGAAAAATTTGGGGTGAGGGACCCCAAAACTGGGATCAAGGAACCCCAAATTATGGTTAGGGACCACCAGATTGTGGTTAGGGACCCCCCTGGGTCACCCAGAGCCCCCCCTGAGCTCCTGGGGCCTGTTGGTTTGCGGCCTGGTTGGAGGCCTTGAGTGCGGCCTAGGCCGAGATCAGGGGAAGGAGGCGCCTCAGGAGGCTGGGGGGACAAAAATAGGGCTGAGGGACCCCAAAATTTCAGTTAAGGACCCCCCAAATTTGTGTTAGGGACCCTCCAAAATCCCCCCTGAGCCCCCCAGGCCTGTACAAGCAAGGCCTGGCTCAAGGCCGTGAGTGTGGCCTAGGCTGAGATCAGGGCCAGGAGGTGCCTCAGGCCCAAGTTGTGTCCAGGTCCCCCTCAGGCTCACAAGGAGAGCAGCAGGGCGAAGCCAGCCAGGTAGAGGTTCCTCTGGGCACGGAACAGTTTCATGTGGAAGTGCTCCAGCGCGGCCGGGCTGGTGCCCAGCACCTCCTTGTCCCCCACGTTGTACCTACGGGTCTCCCTCAGGGCATCTGGGGGACCAGGGGGGGTCAGAAGGGGGGGGACACCCCCCCAGAGACACCCCAAAATCACCAGAGTGCCCCCAAACCCACCCAGGTGTGCCCGGACCCACCCTGAGTCCACCCGGACGCACCAAGGGCAACCCCGCGCTCAAAAGGCGTCAAAATCGCCATAAAATCCACCCAAAATCCACCCAAAATTCAGCCAAAGTTCACCCAAAATTCCCCCAAAGTTCCACCACAGTCCACCCAAAATTCCCCCAAAGTTGCCCCCAAATCTACCCAAAGTTCCACCCAACTCCACTCAAAATCCCCTCCAATTTCCCACAAAAATCCCCTCAAAATTCCCCCAAAATCCACCCAAATCTCCCCAAATTCTCCCTCCCAAGATCTCCCTGAAAATCCACCCAAAATTCCTCCAAAATCCCCTCCAAGTTCCCCCAAAATACCCCAAAAAACCACCCCAAATCCCCTCAAAATCTGCCTAAAATTCCCCAAAATTCTCTGAAATTACCCCCAGATTTCCTCAAAATCCTCTCAAAATTTGTCCAAATTTACCCCAAAATCCACTGAGGGCCCCACCGAAATCTACCCAAAATTCCTCTAAAATTCCTCAACATTCCCAGAAAATCCTCTGAAATCTCCCCCCAAAATCCTCCTGAATTTCCATCCAGATTTTCCTGAGAATCTCCCCGAAATTGATTTAAAATTCCCCCAAAATCCACCCAAAGTTTCCTCAAAATCCCCTCAAAATTCTTCCAAATTTCTCCCAAAATTCCCTCAAAAACCACTCAAATACCCCCCAAATCCTCTAAAAATCCACCCAGATTTCCCCCTAAAATCCCACAAATTTCCCCCAAAGTCCATTTAAAATTCCCCCAAAATCCACCGAAAGCTCCACCAAAATCTGCCCAAAATTCCCTCAAAATCCACCCAAAATCTCCCCGAAATCCGTTAAAAATCCCCCCAAAATCCCCTCAAATTT